GGGGTGACTGCAGTCAAGCTAATACAAGCAATTCCAGAGAAATTTGCATAAAAAGCTCAACAAAATGGGGACCTTGGCTCCCAGGTCGACCCAGCCTTGAGTGGGTAAAGTGTGAGTCCTGGAAAGTAACGGCGGCCGGCGTGATGCTGACCACATCACCCATTTTGTGCAGATTGGGTTATACAAGATTTGTCTAGCCCTATATACCCAATACACTTAAAGGCGTGGAAAAGGGTTCTTCACTTACTTTAGTGACATGATATGCCAATGAATATTATTTTTGTTTCTATAAATACTGTGATTTGGCATATACGTTATTGTCACACCTGTTGCATTAATAATTGTCTCTCCATAATTAGCATTATATGTTGGCACGATTGTTATAAAATAAACACCTTCCTGTTTCTTTTTCAGAAAGTTGTACAATCCCTAAATAATTGTGTAAGCGGACCAGGGGCCATTTATATACATTCTCTGCTGTTAAAGTATTAGTGTTTGTATATCAAGGATACTATTAGTGCATATTAAGTTCTCTCTTTTCTTTCTTTTTCGTACACTCAGTTCAGACCCTTAGTTGGGCTGCCTCTATAAATTCGCGTGTCAACTGCAGGTCCTTTGTTGTACTTTACAGTTTGCTGTGCACACTTTGATATTGAGGCCAAGTTTCTCTTGGTCGTGATAAGTACACTGGCAGTCCAGCAGAATGTGTTCAGGTATTGATAAATGCCGTGCTGGCACGTTTGCATAATTATTCGTTACATTTATATTTAGAAATCACGTGTTGGCATTTGTTGATAATTTTATATTATATTTATAAATAGTCTGTTCGTATGTTTGTATATTTATATGTTACATTTAAATTTATAAACAGTTTGTGTTTCTCCTCTGAGTCATTCACCGGCCAAAGTAATATAGGGATCACAATCTAGAACCCCATTTAGTTATATCATATGCTATCTTCTCGTGGATCCAGTGGCGTAGAAAGGGGCTTGAGTGGGGAGGGGGGCGGTACAACATTTGTCATTACCAATGGGATGAGGAAGGGGGGAGGGGGGGGGTGGGAGGGGGTATGGGGTAAAAAGGCCTAATTATGTCTTTTTAATCTTAAAAACATGCGCGTGAGTGTGTTTGTGCGTGTATGTATGTATCTTCTTCTTCTTCTTCGCGTTCACCAGCTGTACACTCTGGCGGAAAGTTCTGGTTGCTCGTCCACTTCTGAACTGCATTCCTTCTCCAGAACCTGAGTGTTGCGTGTGCATCAGTTTTACAGATCTCATTCTCTTGAATACAGACTGTTGGTTCCTTGCCTCTCCGGCAGATGCCCTCCGACTTCAAAGGAAGCTCCCCAATTAGTCGACTCCTACAAAATGCTTTTGGGGAGGCTGTGGGTCTATTCTTGTTTTCCCCAACAATGGGGCCCCGGAACCCACACGGGGGAATGTGTATGTATGTATGTAGGAGAGTGGGTTGGGGTGGGGGGGGGGGGATGACAGGACGTTTGTACCCGCTTCCACTTGACCTAGGAATGCCACTGTTTGGATGTCATCCATGTGAGCACCTTTGACCTTTCTTAATAAAGTTCGCCCTCGTGTTTCCATACCTAACCAGAACATGCCAGATCAGCTTTAGGAAGAAAGGAAGGAACAAAGGAGTCAACCCCCAGCTGTGACCACCAAGACCTGGAACAGGGGCGCAGTCTCTTGGTGGAACGACCGTGTCATAGAATGGCGAGAAGACAGGAAACAAGTACTTCAAAGGTATAGAAAAATCAGAACCCAAGAATATTTTAAAGCACATAAGAACCCCAGAAATGAAGTCAACTGAGTTGTCAAAGAGGCCAATGAGGCACACTGGAAAAGATTTTGTCCCAAACTGACACCAAATACCCCAGCAAACGAGATGTGGAATAAAAAAAAAGGGGGGAAAAAAGGGGGGGGGGGGGGGGGGGGGGGGGGCTATTAAATGAGATAAGAAGAGATTTAGGATTCCCATAATAAAAATGCCCATACTAGCAATAACTAACCAAGAGAAATCAGATGTTTTTCGAACGTACTTCTAGAAGTTTGCTCTAATGAGAGATTAGGCGAGGAAGAGAGAGCGAGCGGGAGAGAGAGAGAGAGAGAGATAGAGAGAGAGATAGATAGAGAGATAGATAGAGAGAGGGAGAAGAGAAGAATTTGACTAAATGGCAAGCTTAAATATTTAAAAACAGTAGGACACTAATTATACGTGGATATAGCAGTAGAAGAAGTTGGAAGTGCTATAAGTAACAAATCTAACACTGCAACAGAAGCGGACATTCTTATCTACACAAAAATGAAAATGTTACCAGGAAAACCCTTGAAGCAAATTACGGAATTATTCAAAGAGATATGGAGAGAAGGTGAAATGTCCAGGCATCAGGATCAAGCCACATTTATTCCCACTGGGATCAATCCTGGAACTTGTCATACAGAAGAGGATTACTTTCCACAAGGAGAAAAATAACGGATTATGTATAATCCAGTCTGGATTTCGAGCCAATAGGTCTACAGTGGACCAAATAATTAAACTAGAGGACCAAGTGAAAAGAGGATTCAGAAAAGGAAATAAAACCTAAGCAGTATTTTTTAGGCATAGATCAAGCTTATCATCAGAACTGGCGACAAGCAGTCCTGTATAAGGCCGGAGACATACGACTAAGATTAGGTGGTCGAGTAAATAGGTACACTGAGCGCTTCTTGGAGAAAATGACATTCACAGTGATCGTTAAAAAAAAAAAAAAAAAATGAAATATGTATATACAGTAGAAGGGACTTCTCTCTGGTGCGGTCTTGTCACCAACAATATTTTCAATACTGGTTAATGATCTTAACAAGGTAAATAAAGACCCAAGGGTAAGCCTGACATAGTTTGCAGATGACTGTTCAATATTCACATGGGATAAGTCAGTGAAGACGTCAAGAAACAGATTACAAAAAGAAGTCAGTAATGTTATGTTATGTTATGTTATGTTATCACAATCGCCGTCACTCCACATTGGGTATTCCCGCAGTATTGTTACTAGCTAGATCATTAAACGGGGTCCCGCCCCCCCCCCTTTTTTTTTTCTAAAAAACAAAAATACAAGCAAAACAGTGAGCATGGTATTCAACTATAAAAGACTGCGCTGCTGTAACAATGATATTATTACAATTAGAAGTACTAGAAGACCAATCTAAAAACTAACGAGCACACGGTTTCTAGGAATGATTTTGGATGAACAGCTGAACTGGGGCAAACATACTGAAACAACTGTGACACATATGAAAGAATTAGCAAATTTTTAAAGATAATTAAAGGCACTGGATTGGGAGCTCATCAAGGCATCTTTTCTGCAATTTTATCAAGCTTTCCTGAGAGGGAAACTAGAATATGGAAGTATTGTCTAGGACTCAGCAACTGATTGCACAAAAAGTAAACTAGACGGTATACAGTGCCAAGCACTGGCCACCATTATAGGTGCAGGTAAAGACAGACCAAGAGAAGCAATGGAAGTAACGCTAGATACAACACTGCTACATCTGAGAAGAAAGCAATTAATATACAATTACTGGCTTCAGACCACACACAGTCATGATCATCCAGCATGTGACGCTTTTAACACCAATACAAAAAAGTTACATTGGGTGTGAGAAAGAAACAGTCATAGGCCAGCAGGATGGAATGCTGTAATAGAACTGAAAACTAATAAGGAACTAGCAAGGACACCTGAATTAAGAAAGAGATATAACCTTCCGATACCACCACGGGAATTGAAACCATCATATGTAGACACAAGACTGGCAAAACAGATTTCACAAAACACTGATCCACTAATTAAGGACCATAGGAGAGAAGTACATGAGAAACATTGAAACTGATAACCTGATAATATCCACTAATGGATCCAAAAATGAGACAGGAGAAGAAGGAGCAAGTGGTCACTCCGAAACCCTCAAGGGCCCAATAAAACTTTATGGTTGAACTGCGTTTCAGGGGATTTGTACCTGGGGTGTCCACCTCCGAACAGTGACACTTTGCAAATCACACCGGTCGCAGTTTCTTCCCATGACCTTTCCTGGTACACATTTAAGGCTGGGTCGACCTAGGAGTTAAGGTCATTTTGTGAAGGAAAAAATCAGACTCGATGCAGATTTAAGCTCACAATCTTAGGAGCCCGCATGACAGCGTCTAGCTACTACACCACGACAGCTTCCTTAGAAAGAGAATTTGCAACCAGAAAGCGTTAAGTTACAGTAAGAGGAGCCGGCCTTTACTCTTTATTGGCAGCTGGTCTAGGAGGGAAGAGAACCGGACAGACAGCAATGCTCTTCTGATTCCGCGACGTCTGCAGTGCGTTGTGCTACAAACGTGTTGCTGTTACCTTTCCTTAAGAGTAAACAAGGCTACCCGAAAGGGATCATTCTACATGGGCAACACAAAATCCCTAAAACAATGTCCAGACTTTGTTCCATGGCCTTAACATCTGTGATTCTAATCCCTCTTTGTTACACAGTTCGACGCTATCACTTTGAAAGATAAATTGGTGGTTTTGGAGAGACAGTTATTTTGCACAGCATAACTACTATCGCTCAATAAACATGTCGCCAAGGGCAGTTAATTAGGGATTTCTAGAAGTCGAATGTTTTGGGCCAAAAGCGACGAATATCGCAGTGTGTTGTGTGTGTGTGTGTGTGTGTTTGTATGTGTGTGTGTGTGTGTGTAGCTGATAATTCTGTATACGCTGGTGTTAACCTCAGACTGTTATCATATCACTTATAAATTCATACAGTAATTACAACAAAAAGCCCAATAATGGCAGTAACACAACCAACAACAGTAGATATATTTACGACTTCCACCTAAACTAGGAGCACAACAGTTCTTTTATTGCTACATACAACGGCCAAAAGGCTAAATTTTATTTTTATCAAAAGTGATGAACTTTAGCTTAATCTCTGTCAAGATGGTTCTGATGGTGGCTGTGTATGGAAGTCGATCTACACAGATCTGCTTGTCTTTCTACGGCAGCAAGGAATCAATAACAAAGCGTGGGACACGGCTCCCAGGACGATAAAGCCGCCCCCGATGTAGAAGGACGGGTCAAAGATGCCTGTGGCGTCGATCAATGCTCCTGTGGGACAGAGTAATTCACTGTCAGTCATACAGGCTCTAGAGGCCAACATTACTGATAGCACACAACAGGCTCTAGAGGACAACATTACTGATAGCACACTACAGGCTCTAGAGGCCAACATTACTGATAGCACTCTACAGGCTCTAGAGGCCAACATTACTGATAGCACTCTACAGACTCTAGAGGACAACATTATGATAGCACACTACAGGCCAACATTACTGATAGCACACTACAGGCCAACATTACTGATAGCACACTACATGCTCTAGAGGCCAACATTACTGATAGCACACTACAGGCCAACATTACTGATAGCACACTACAGGGTATAGAGGCCAACATTACTGATAGCACACTACAGGGTATAGAGGCCAACATTACTGATAGCACACTACAGGGTATAGAGGCCAACATTACTGATAGCACACTACAGGGTATAGAGGCCAACATTACTGATAGCACACTACAGGGTATAGAGGCCAACATTACTGATAGCACACTACAGGGTATAGAGGCCAACATTACTGATAGCACACTACAGGGTATAGAGGCCAACATTACTGATAGCACACTACAGGCTCTAGAGGACAACATTACTGATAGCACACTACAGGGTATAGAGGCCAACATTACTGATAGCACACTACAGGCCAACATTACTGATAGCACACTACAGGCCAACATTACTGATAGCACACACAATGCCGAACAAAATGAACTTGCTGAGTGGTCAGAAAGACCAGAAACCTTCCTGCAGTGGATTCCAAGCTGTTGTGGCATCAAACGCAACGAAAGCGCGGATGCCTTAGCCATGGAAGGCAGCAGCAAACTACAAATCTACCATCTACTATATTTTCCAGGATTCATATCCCTCAAAAGAGAAAATCATAAATAAACTCAAAAACAAAATATAATAACGAAAACGATTTCCCCGATCACCTAAACAAAAAAGATCAAGTCAAAATGTTTTGCGTATGCATAGGGCACAACAGACACAGCGAAAAGTTATATAAATTATATATAGACCAAAAAACTTTCTGCCAGTGTCTTCACGCTGAACAGACTCCAGAACATGTCTTGGATGACTATCCTCTCTTGGCGGAGCTGGGAAGCCACAAGTGGCCCCACCCAGTAGACCTGACAACTAAGCTTTGGAGAAACCTAGGAGACCTTGAGATGACATCCCAGTTTATGGCGCACAGGGAATTAAGCGCATGACAAGAGATCACTGGGGGGAAAAAATGACAGAGGAAATCCATGATCAAGACGCACAGTTTGATATAAAAATGTTAGCTACATACTCCTACAGGTGTCACCCCATCCCCCTCCCCCCCCCCCCACGCCCTAAAACAAATCCCAAATGTTAGGGAGCTAAATGCTATCCCAACCACGCAGATGAGTTTCCTGCATTCTTATTACAATACTGTCGGCACGACGAGAGTTACTTCCCGAACCATTTATGCCGCAGCCGGTGACAGGGCCTGTTGTATGTTGTAGGGGTGTAATGTTTTTAACCGTTTAGCCGTTCTCTCTGTTCTCGTGTTGTCACCGCTCACGTTCAAGATTATTGGCAGGTTGTGCTTCTTTCTCGACGGTTCGTGAATAGCGAAACTGACGTTTATTTATATTTCTACTTTCCTTAGCGCTCGCTTCTTTTTTCTGGAGCGAAAACCTCCGCCAAGGAACGTAGAGATACAAAAACATACCAGTTTCGATACTCAGGAACCATCAAGACTACGGCGCTTCCCCCTGCAGTACTTCTTACTTGTAAACATTGGCCTGAGACTAACAACAACACAACCTCACTCAAACATTATATATGGCGAGCGAACGCTGAAAGAAGTCATATCATAAACACCCCCACAACATAGAACGGCTGTGCGACAGGCCGCGGAATGAATGAGACGGGAAGTAACTCTCTCTCAGTGCGCACACAAAAATGAGTTGTTATGCCCCCCCCCGCCCCTTTTCCCCTTTTTTTCAACTTTTTTTTTCTTAGAAAAAAAATTCTTGGGAATGTTTGGGAGCGGGGGGGGGGGGGGGGGGGGGGGGGGGGGGGGACAGAACAACTCCTCTTTATGTGCGCACTGAGAGAGAGTTACTTCCCGTCTCATTCATTCCACGACCGGTCGCACGGCCTGTTCTATGTGGTGGGGGTGTTTATGATATGACGGGGGGGGGGGGGGGGGGTAATTAATGCTGCTAAAATCCAGACCCCAAAGACTCTGATGCTCTAACACTTATAGAAATGCACAAAAATAAATGCTTTTTTTTAAAATGCTACCAGATTTGTCTGAGTTTCTTTTATGCATTTGTAATACAGCTATTGAGCGCATTTCACTTGATCGCTCCTTACACACACACTTATTGCAAAGACACATGGTTGATTAGGTTTTCTGTTGTACATCAGATACGACAAAGACAACAACTGACCTGCGATTGGTGGCCCCATAATACAGGCCACGCCCCTGAACAAGATGACGAACCCGAAGGCGTTGGTTAGGTTCTCCACACCAAGTAGTTCACACAGAAGCACGGAGCAAAGGGAGATATATGCAGCTGCAGGGAGATACAGCAGATGGGAGATGTATGCAGCTATAGGGAGATACAGTTGATGGGAGATGTATGCAGCTGTAAGGAGATACAGTAGAAGGGAGATACAGTGGAACCTCGCTTATCAAGCAAAATTCGTTCCAGAATCATACTCGTTGAGCGAAACACTCGTTATGCGAAACAATTTTTCCCATATAAATTAATGTAAAAAACGATAATGCGTTCCATGTTGAAAAAAAAAAAAAAAAAAATCACGAAATGCTATGTATTACGCTTATTCGAAGAAAATTATTTACATATTGTTAAGGAGAGTGAAATATCTTTATCTTTTCTTCAAACGCGGAACGAACCCACCTGAAATACGAATTCAATTTGCAGAAAAACAAAGTTGAAATAATTATGATACTGCTAATATTTTTTTTTACTAGAAAAATGTTTAGAGACATTTGTTTTTGCCGACGCTTCAAAATTTGGCGAAAATGCGACACAGCATTGTCATTAAATAAATTTGCCACGCGCATAGTTACTTCCTTATTAGGGTGATGCTTCTCAATTTAGGATGCAACAGTTTGCCATGCTTTCAGTATTTCTCTTATTTCGCCACAAAATTGTTGCTTTTCTGTTACCTCCTCCTCCTCCTCTGACAAATTCTCCTCCAAAACTTCTTGCTGTGAAATACAATACAGCTACATAAGCTCTTGGGTGGTCAGCTCTTGGCTGTACTCTTCCACAAGCTCTTCGATATCACCGTTATTCACTTACAATCCCATGATAGTGACCAAAGACACTATCTCGTTGACTACAGGTTCCACAGGTTCTGTCTCTAACCCCTTAAAGTCACAAATCGACAACGCTCTCCGGTCAAAGCTTCTTCCAAGCAGAAGTTAGGGTTGTCTTGGTAACCCCTTCCTCCGCCGTGTCGATCATCTTGAGGCAGGCAACGATGTGGAAGTGATGTTTCCAAAACTCTTTGAGAGTAAGGCTGGTTCCTTCAGTCACCTGAAAACAATGCTCGAAGAGTGCTTTAATGTAGAGCTTCTTAAAGTTAGAAATAACTTGCTGGTCCATGGGTTGGAGTAATGGAATAGTATTGGAAGGCAGAAATTGGATCTTGATGAACTTAAATTCTTCAGGGACGTCATCTGTAGGTCTGGAGGATTCATATACATATATCACAATATAACACAAGTTTGAGAAAATGTGTGATCACAAGCGACACTACGATTGCTAAACACAGACTGATGTAACATGAGCAACCTTCCGGTCAAAATGGTCGCTAGGCAGGAGCACTGTTTGGAGCCAAGGCAAATTTTTTGCTTCCGCCGGACGGTGGCCGATGCATTTTTGCTCCGTTTTTAGACTGAATACGGTTTCGTCGCCTAGCTTCTGAGCTGAATGCATGGCGTGACACTCTGAGCTGGGGATTTCATTTGGAATGTTTTTTTCGACTGTGACCAACGTGGTGGTTTGAATTGTAAATTCAGAAAATGGCGCGATGCGTGTCGTCGCAATGTTAGTAGTGCCCGTATGTGATTAAAATTGATCGCGTGGGCAACTGCTGATTTGTTGGTGACTTATGCTACCATCAATGATGAACTGAATTTCTAGTGTCGGACTGTTTGTGCTAGCACTTCGGATGGCTACCGTGTGCTTTAATGCATATGTTTGCTAGATATGCTGAGACAGCAGTCTGCCAATCTTTCCCCAAGGGACTGTGATAAACATTCTGTGTGTTTTTCGTTGGCACAGGAGCGGAGCAAAGATAGGGTGACCCGTTTGCTATGAAGCTGAAACTAAGACTACCAGACTAACAGACCAGAAAACATGCGCAAAATCCGGGACTTTCCCTCTTCTCACCACTGGTTATGCGAAACATCGCTCGTTAAGCGAGTCATTCTTTTACAGTTTGCTTTGCTCGTTATGAGAATTATTTGTTATGAGAGGTGCTATTTAAGCGAGGTTCTACTGTATATGCAGCTGTAGGAAGATACAGTAGATGGTAGATTTTTGCAGATGTAAGGAGATAAAGTAGATGGGAGGTATATGCAGCTGTAGGGAGATACAGTTGATGGGAGATGTATGCAGCTGTAGGGAGATACAGTAGATGGTAGATATTTGCAGATGTAGGGAGATACAGTAGATGGGAGATATATGCAGTTGTAGGGAGATACAGTTGATGGGAGATGTATGCAGCTGTAGGGAGATACAGTAGATGGGAGATATATGCAGATGTAGGGAGATACAGTAGTTGGGAGATATTTGCAGATGTAAAGAGATACAGTAGATTGGAGATATTTGCAGATGTAAGGAGAAACAATATATGGGTGATATAAGCAGCTGTAGAAAAATACAGTAGATGGGAGATATATGCAGATGTAAGGAGATACATTAGATGGGAGATATTTTCAGATGTAAGGAGAGACAGTAGATGGGAGATATATGCAACTGTAGGGAGGTACAGTAGATGGGAGATATATGCAGCTGTAGGGAGATGCAGCAGATAAATTCAGCTATAGTCTAGGACAGTTCTGGTCTTTATGTACGTTGATGTCACACACAGGTTCGTCTTTAGAGTCAATTAAAGAATATAGACGATGATAAAGATGGTCGTGTCGATAGTGGTGATGATAATGACCTGTTGCTAGCTGCATGCTTCTCCCGTCTCTCTGATGCTTGAAAAATACAATGTCGTGAAACAACTGTCCTTTTATTTACTGTCTTTATTGTGATACCTCAGTAGTGTCACAAACAACATCAATGATTTTCTGAATGGCCGCTGTTTTGCTCTATGGTGACATACTTGTAAGGTCGCGTTGTGTTTTTCATTTCTAATTACTTTGCTAACTGGCTCTAGTGTCTGTAACTGCCACCTGGCTTCTAGTGCTGTTTTGGTACTAACGGCTTAATCGTCGACTATCTTATGTGTCTCTGTTAACCATGGATCCATGTATGTCTGTTGTCTCTGTAGTTAAATGTCTAGCCTCATGTCTCTTACCTAGTGTCTATCTTTGAGGCTCCTTGTGACTGGCTCATCCCCTTCTAAGTCTCGAGGATTGATGATTCTCTTTTTTTGAGGTCCATATTACTAGTCCCTCCTCTTCTAAGTCTTGTAGACTGAAGGATTGTTCAAGTGGTTTTTTTCTCATTATTTGTACTGAGATGTTAGAATGTTAGGTATTTGTTTTCTTCTCACTTTGACTGCTTCTAGAATATTCTTGTAGGCTCAACTTGTTTAATATGTACGTTCTCCGCGTGGGATTTACTAATTACATCTGGATTGCATCATCTTGCTCTGCACCTAAATATAGCAATTAAATTGACAGCTGGCCAGACTGACACTTCCAAAAAGCCAGTACTGCTACGTTCTCTTTGGTAGGGCACATCAACAGTTATATCATATAATATTTCTAGATTATTTATTTGCAAAATATTTATCTGTTAATAACAAATGACGGTTCTAGAAAGGGGAATTTCAAGGTTGCTAAGGCGTGATGATTTCGTTCCATTCTAACTTTGCGCAATATCCTACCTCCTAACAGACAAGTGATGACGTCTCCATGTTACAGTAGGGAGATACAGTAGATAGGAGATAAATGCAGATATTGGAAGACACGGTAGATAGGAAATGCATGCAGCTTTAGAGAGACTGCCTAGATCGGAGATGTATGTGAATGTAGGGAGATATAGTGGTTGGGGGATGTATGTAGATCTAGGGAGATACAGCAGTTGGGAGATGTATGTGAATGTAGGAAAATATAGTGGTTGGGGGAAGTATGTGGATCTAGGGAGATACAGCAGTTGGGAGACGTATGTGAATGTAGGGAGATATAGTGGTTGGGGGAAGTATGTGGATCTAGGGAGATACAGCAGTTGGGAGATGTATGTGAATGTAGGGAGATATAATGTTGGGGGAAGTATGTGGTTCTAGGGAGATACAGCAGTTGGGAGACGTATGTGAATGTAGGGAGATATAGTGGTTGGGGGAAGTATGTAGATCTAGGGAGATACAGCAGATGGGAGATGTATGTGAATGTAGGGAGATATAGTGGTTGGGGGAAGTATGTGGATCTATGGAGATACAGCAGTTGGGAGATGTATGTGAATGTAGGGAGATATAGTGGTTGGGGGAAGTATGTAGATCTAGGGAGATACAGCAGTTGGGAGATGTATGTGAATGTAGGGAGATATAGTGGTTGGGAGAAGTATGTGGATCTAGGGAGATACAGCAGATGGGAGATATATGCAGCTGTAGAGAGAAACAAAAAGAGTTGATGATGCATGTATCTAAAAAAGAGACAGAATATGCTAAATATACACACAAGTAACGATATTAAACGTTGGACAACTGACCTACACAAACTCCAAAGACGGCTGACAAGGTCGCCAGAGCTGTGTATGAGAGGCACAGGGGGAAGGCAGCGGTCACGACCCCGGCAAGGGCCAAGGCCACGCTGGTCACCAGCAGACAGTCGATGTTTAGGAAGTTGATGACCACTCCGGTTAGTACTCGGCCCACAGTGTTGGTGATCCCTGGTGGATAGAGACAAGTAGACTTTGCCCTTTGACATCTGCTAAAGTCAAAGTCTCTATCTCGCAACACCAAGATCAAAATATAAAAATATACAAGTCCGTTGTTAGATATTGCTCAGAAACCTGGAGCACAGCTAGAAGAGATGAAGCCTTGCTACATATTTCTGAAAACAGGCCTTGCGGTCCGCCTCGAGTGCTAGAGGTTCCGGGTTCAATCTCCTGTAAAGGTTGGGATTTTTTAACGTGGACTTGGACTTCTAGTAATTTTCCTGGTCTCTGGGTGGTGAGATCGGACGCCCGTGTGCATTGTTGCGCACCTGAAAAATCTCTTGGCGGTTGGAAATCAAAAAGAGTAGCCTAACTGAGCTGCCCGGCCAAAAAATGGGAGTTAAGATTCTACCCAAAGTATTTCACGATCCTCGCTGGTGCTACAGAGCCTGTGCACTGGGAATAACTCCTTTGGACTCAGACGTGAGTTACTACCCGTGTGCCATGATGTTGATCCGCTGTTCGAAACTTCAACACACACACGCACAAAACGAAGCTTTGGACGCAAATAGCGGGGAATGGAGAATGAGAAGCAACAACGAAATTCATAACCTGTTTAAATCACACTGATCATTGGCATCATGAGGGCTAATATACCAAAATGGCTTGGACATATTGAGAGAATATAAAATGACAAAGAGGGGAAAACAGTATGCACAAGGGAGTCGAATGGTCGTAGACCACGAGGCAGACCAAGAAGACAATGGGGAGATAATATCCAGACAGAACCACATACACTCGGTGTCACCAGCTGGAAAGACCAACCAGAAAGATGAGTGGAAACGTGTAATATCTGCAGCAGTGAACCTCAAGAGCTAGGAATGCTGAAGAAGAAGAAGAAACCGGAGACAAGTTCACAGTTCATTGGGGCATGGATAACAAATGTCAACTCCATTAGGTGTTTTGTGTATATGGTTCTAGAGCTATGCTTGAACATTTCAGTCCATACCCGATGGGTGACGTGGCAATGTTTTACACACAGTTAGGATGATTGATTGCAATGCTATCTTTTATCCCTAACGTTTTCAATTAAAAATAACTCACCACGCGTGTCTTGGTCATTGCAAAGATTATGTAATCTGTTGCTGTCTTTTGTCACAGACAGATGTTATACTTATATCTCAATGGTTAGTTGAACTACCTTCTGTCCCAAACTGTCTCAGTTGAACGTCTTCAGACTAAACTTTATACAAACTTATTTACTGCTTTTAATCTGAAATCACTGAGACAGAAAGTGGTTAGAGATACAACTGCTTGGGGCTGAGAGAGTTCAGATTCCGCCAGCTGCATGCCGATATCGTCGCCCCTAGCAGGAACTCCGCAGCAATACCGACGATCCACAGTGATCACCTTACATTTGCGCAGGTGAACCGAACGACGCATCCGTGGAATAAAAACCTCGACAGAGCTCGTGATAAACGATGGGATCATGTCCTCAGGAAGACCAGAAACACTTGTTCTTTCGGAGTAAATCTGGATGTTGATTCCAGCCTGGGTGCAAATGGGAAACCAGCAATGGCAAGAGATGAATAATTCACATGTGTAAGCGTTAGCAGTTAGCAGGTATCGATTACACTCGAGAGGATACCACTTAATATTGTCCTCCTCGTCGCTTCGCGACTGAGTGTCAACGTGCGCAGCTAGGGTCGTCGAACTAGTGACTGGTAGCTGTCAAACCATACAGTTTCTGCATGAGTGAGGTAAGTATGCAGCGATCGTTCTTGTGGCTGTATTAGAGAAGTAAACGGAAGAGTATATTTGTAGTGAAACAAGAATACACCCACTGCCTTCCTAGCAAGCGTGTCGTAGTAGTCAACTAACTGGAGACTTCCTTCGAAGTAGGACTGCCTCTGCCCGAGTGGCAAGGAACAACCAACTGCATACAAATGCGCTAGTAAAACTGTTGTACACGCAAAACTCAGGCCCTGGCACAAAGCCAATGTGCAAATGGACGAACAACCTGGACTTTACCCTGGAGCTTACAGTTGGTGAACAAAGAAGAAGAAGAAAAAGATTACATCCGGATTTATCCCATAGGGCTCGGTCTCTCTCGGCAGAACGCCTAGCTGCCTGTCCAGACCTGATGACAATGAAGAAGAGTCAGATAAACTTACCAATAATTGATAAGAGAAACGCCGCGCTGTCCTCCTCAATGCCTATCTGCTTGGCCCTGTCTGGCACGTAGACAAAGGGCACGTAGAACCCAATCATGCAGAAAAAGTTGCCCATTAACACAAACCAGTATCTCTTGTCCTGAGAGAAAGAAACATCGATTTAAAAAAAAAAAAAAAAAAAACCTGAAATAATTCTTATCTTTACCACAACAAAATTTGAAAAAAGAAACAGTTCCGTTATTTGGTTGTGATCATCATGTTCTTTAATAGCATCTTCATGTTTTACTAGTTTGCTGTAAAAACTTATCTCCGCCATTGCCGGTCCTAAACCCGGATGTGAAAGGAGGAGGGTTGTACGTGGGGTCAGCATGCAACACTTAAAAAAAAAAACAATGTGCTACAGAAACGTGCAGGACATCGTAAATATGAAATAGAAGGACTGAGGAAGTCGGGACAGCCAAAAGAGACCCTATTGCCAACGTTAACGAAAGAAGCTGAATGTCCTGGACTATGTTCCACCAAAGAGTAAGCCCTATGTGACATGTGATGCTACAACAGGGCGATGAATGAATATTAAAAACTAGCGGCAATAGTGTTCTGGCTAGAAGCTCGCCCGCCGATTTGAAGTTCTAGGTTCAAATCCAATTGTTTTTGTATTCGAAGTTGACTTTGGCTTCCAGATCGTCTCGAATCGAAGCGAATACAAAGTAACGACATGGGAAGTAAAGGCGTCCGGCACAAATTTGACGGCACCATCCCCTCGAGTGCCAAATTGTCTATATAAAGATAGCTCTAGCACCATATGTCCGACGGGCCAAAGACGAGAAAGTGTCCAACACTTAACGACTCTGCAGTCAGATCCCATTCCAAATACTTCACTCGCCTATTGGGAAAACGCCACATTTATTACTTACAATATTTCTATTAGTACTGTTACTTTCTTTTCTTTCTTATTTACATTCAGTGTCTGTAAACTCGGGGGGGGGGGGGGGGGGAGGGCGGGGGGGGGGGGGGGGGTTGCGGGCAAGTTCTAATTGTTCGTCTATTTCTTGACTTTAGTCATGTTAAAAGACTTGAGATTTTTTTTTTCCGGAAACATAACTGGCTGATATGTAAACAGACGGTGGCTCCTTGACGCTCAGGTGAGCAATCTGAGTTTTATTAAAGTGCCGCTAAATATTTACCTTTTACGACACGTTTGTTTGGTGGTAGTGGGTCTATCACCCCACCCCACCCCCCACCCCCCCAACTCTTCCCCAAATTAGGCACCGAAACACACATGGGAAAAGGGTATGTTTGGTCCTACAAGAAATATGTTGGCAACGTTCTGCCTACCTTCTGAGATGTAGCTTACTTACTGATGAAGATGATGAGCATAGGAATACATGGCAGATTGTATAACTGGGTGAAATACTTCCTGATAGATAGAACAATCCAGACTAAGATGCACAACGCAATCTCTTCTAAAGAAGTCTTGGAGGAGGGCTTGCCACAAGGCTCATCATTGAGCTGTACACTATTCCTAATCTTTATCAATGACCTGCCAGAACAAATCAAGGCCGAAAAAGCCTTGTACGCTGATGACCTAGCAATATGGCAGAGTCATGAAAATGTGGAAAGTGGAGCCCAAAGACTGAATGGAGACCTTAGAAGACTGCATGATTACTGCCAAAGATGGAAACTCAAGGTTAACTGTGCAAAGACGGTCTACACAATCTTTACCAAAAGCCACCAAGTAGCAAGGAAGAATATTAACCTGAGGTTAGACAAACACCAAGTGATGAAAGAAGAGCATCCCACATACCTTGGAGTCACACTTGACCCGCAGCTCAGCCTCAAAAACCATATTGAAAACATCAGGAATAAGGCATTGAGGCGGTTACAGTTATTAAAGAGACTTGCAGGTACATCATGGGGATCAGACAAGGAAACTCTGAGGGGCTTATACCTAGGATATGTTCGCTCTGTGATAGAGTACAACAACTCACTGCTTACAACTTGCTCCAAAACTAACCTAGAGACTCTTGACAGAGTACAAAAATAATGCCCTCCGATTAATCTGCGGAGCTATGCAGTCTACACCAACTGCTGCATGTGAAATCCATACAAATGTGGAACCCCTCGGGTTGCGGAGAGAAAAAGCCACTTTAGAAATTTATGAAAGATGCGTTAGGAAAAATCGTAACCATCCTAATAGACATCTTGTAGAAAACTGGGAACCCAAACAAAGAATAAAGCACAAATCGGTTTTACACTGTGTTAATGAAATTCAGGACAGATACCACCTCCCAGAAAGACGTCAAGGAATTCAGAATGTTGCAAAAAACCTACCACCACATGCTCGCTTTAAAGCTCCAGAAGTCCAAACTAAATTGGTAGGCGAGGGAAACCAAACAGTCCGACCCAATCGCTCTTATGAACTCATCACTAAAGACCGTTGATTCTTACCCCCAAGAATGGATACATGTCTATACTGATGGATCAGCATTTAAAGCTACCATTAAAGCAGGTTACGGAATCTACATAGGTTATCCCGATGGATCTGTTGAAGAGATTTTTGATGCATGCGGGGAATTCTGTTCAAACTATGAAGCTGAAATAATTGCACTGGAAACAGCAGTATACCACCTAAAGACTGTAATGGATGTTTACCCCTCAAAGGTCCAAAATATTGTCATCTTCACAGATTCAATGTCTGCCCTTCAAGCTCTGGAGGGCAATGAACGCTGCAGAACTGACATAGCCAAGATAATCCTGGATGCCGATCAGCTTATTACCTCATACAACATCAGAATAGTGATGCAGTGGATTCCAGGTCACTCCGGCACACCAGGTAATGACAGAGCTGACAGATTGGCAAAGAAAGGAGCAACACAAGAACAACCACCTACAGCGACAACCCTCCAGACAGCAAAAACACTGATAAGAGCTATAAACAAAGAGACTTGCTTGAACAGATGGGCCATGGGAGACACTGGAAGAGAGGTTTATAGACATATGTCTGGCCCTGATCCTAATGACAGCATTAACCATCTAACAAGAAGGGACCAGGCCACCATCTTCAGACTTAGAACGCAACATACTCCACTCAATGGAAACCTAAACAGAATACAGCCACAACACTCCCCAGAGTGCCAGCTATGTAACTACCCCTACGAAACTGTTGAACACCATCTCTTTGAGTGCCCAAAACTCAGTGAGACAAGAAGAACGCTACTCCCTCCGAGACCAGACAAGTGGAACACCTTGTACGGAGGAAAAGAACAGCTTGTGAAAACATGCAAATTCCACTACATGGCATTGGGCCAAAGGGCGAAAGCTCATGCGCCGCTGGATCGATAACAACAACAACAACAACAACAACAACAACTTACACAATAGTACACAAAAATTCTCAGATGGGAAACCAAATATGGGAAACAAATGGACTGTAGGAAACAAATAGACTGTAGGAAACAAATAGACTGTAGGAAACAAATAGACTTTAGGAAACAAATACATTCTGGGGAGACAAATAGACTGTGGGAGACAAATAGACTGTATGAAACAAATAGAGTGTAGGAAACAAATACATTCTGGGGAGACAAATAGACTGTGGGAGACACATAGACTGTGGGAGACAAATAGACTGTGGGAGACAAATACATTCTGGGGAGACAAACAGACTGTGGGAAACAGACAGCAGGAAACAAATAGACTATGCAAAACACATAAACTGTAGGCAATAGACTGTTGAAAACAAATAGAAACAAATAAACAAATAGACTAGGAAATAAATAAACTGTAGAAAATAAAAAGATTATAGAAAACAAATAGACTGAAAAACAAAAAGACTTGGGGGAAACAAATAGACTTTGAGGAAACAAATAGACTGGGAAACAAACAATATCTAGGAAACCAATAGATTCTAGGAAACAAATAGACTGTGGGAAACAAACAAAGTCTAGGAAACAAATAGATTATAGGTAACAAATAGACTGTGGGAAACAAACAATATCTAGGAAACAAATAGATTCTAGGAAACAAATAGACTGTGGAAAACAAACAATATTTAGGAAACAAATAGACAGTGGGAAACCAACAATATTTAGGAAACAAATAGATTCTAGGAAACAAATAGACTGTGGGAAACAAACAAAGTCTAGGAAACAAATAGATTATAGGAAACAAATAGACTGTGAGAAACAAACAATATCTAGGAAACAAAAAGATTCTAGGAAACAAATAGACTGTGGAAAACAAACAATATTTAGGAAACAAATAGACTGTGGGAAACAAAAAGAATCTAGGAAACAAATAGGCTATGGGAAACAAATGAACCGAGAGAAACGGTAACTTCCAAAAGAAACTCTACAGCGAACGTTGAGAGAAAAAATGGGAAGGGTGTGGGGAGGGTCAGGGGCAGTCTTGAAGGAATGGGTTCTAAAAACGTTATCGAAACAATTGAACAGGATACAGCGGAAATCTAACCCTTGTAGCCTAAGATCGTAAACTTGTGAAATATATTCACTAATCTCTAAGCCACAGATTTAAAATTGTTAACAATCAACAAATGTCACCTTGAGAATGCTGACACTCAACATCTCCTCCAGTGTATCGCGGGCAGACGATGGCAGACACGCCCAGATGCCCCGGGGTCTGGCTGGGGCAGAGGCTTGACCATCCATTCCGGCCAAGCTGGTCAGCGACCTGTACCGTAGTTATGATGACACTCTTGGTAATAATGACCTTGTTGCAATTTTATGTATTTTATGAATGGAACAAAATCAGTAAGCATCAACAGCAGTGGTAATTAATCTTCCTAACGCCGTGACGCTTTAATACAGCTCCGCATGTTGTGGCCACCCCCAGACATTCAATAATGTTTGTCGCAACTTTATAACTTCAATGAATATTTGTTTTGCGATGTTCCTTGGCGACCTGACCCATGTGAAAGGGTGGTTCGACCCAAAAGAGGGTCGCGATCCATAGGTTGAGAACCGCTGATCTAAAGCGTACTGCATGAGAGCAGTAGCCTCGCGGGCAAGAGGTCGACCAAGAAAGGCATGGGTGGAGGGAGTAGAAGAGACACTATTGAACCACGCAAATATAAAAGACATGTAACTACATATAGCTTCTCCTTTCGACGAATTACGGCGAAAGCGGTAGGAAAGAAGAAGACGAATAAAAAATACTAAATATATATAGATTGAGATAGCGAGAGAGAGAGAGAGAGAGAGAGAGAGAGAGAGAGAGAGAGAGAGAGAGAGAGAGAGCGAGAGAGAGAGAGAGCGAGAGAGAGAGAGAGCGAGAGAGAGATAGCGAGAGAGAGCGCGAGAGAGAGAGAGAGAGAGAGCGCGAGAGAGAGAGAAAGAGAGAGAGAGAGCGAGAGAGAGCGAGAGCGAGAGAGAGAGAGCGAGAGAAAGAGAGAGAGAGAGAGAGAGAGAGAGAGAGAGAGAGAGAGAGAGAGAGAGATTGTTGTTTTTGTCATCAGATGTTAGCGCACTTATGTTGTATTTAGGTATCATCGTAAGTGGGTGTTTGTATGTGTGTGTGTGAGTGTCAGAGGCTTTTCTTTGGGTTGAGCCCATGTCGTTGCTGCTCAAAGAAAAATTTCACAATCATCATTATTAACAAGCAACACACGTACACTGAATGATGGCGTTTAACTAAAGTCTAAGAATGTCTTTACTTTCCTTCGGCATACATTCTTCTAGTTGGCTCGCATTTAACAGCATGAAAATTCGACGGTTAAGCACCAATGAACAATTCTAGCTTTAAATTTTGACAGAATGCCTCTTCCCTGTAGCAACATACGGATGTGTGTCGTGGACTATCTCTCTCTTTCCTGTAGCAACATACGGATGTGTGTCGTGGACTATCTCTCTCTTCCCTGTAGCAACATACGGATGTGTGTCGTGGACTATCTCCCTCTTCCCTGTAGCAACATACGGATGTGTGTCGTGGACTGTCTCTCTCTTCCCTGTAGCAACATAATTATGTGTGTCGTGGACTATCTTCCTCTGCCCTGTAGCAACATACGGATGTGTGTCATGGACTATCTCCCTCTTCCCTGTAGCAACATACGGATGTGTGTCATGGACTATCTCCCTCTTCCCTGTAGCAACATACGGATGTGTGTCATGGACTATCTCCCTCTTCCCTGTAGCAACATACGGATGTGTGTCGTGGACTATCTCCCTCTTCCCTGTAGCAACATACGGATGTGTGTCATGGACTATCTCCCTCTTCCCTGTAGCAACATACGGATGCGTGTCATGGACTATCTCCCTCTTCCCTGTAGCAACATACGGATGTGTGTCGTGGACTATCTCCCTCTTCCCTGTAGCAACATACGGATGTGTGTCGTGGACTATCTCCCTCTTCCCTGTAGCAACAAACGGATGTGTGTCGTAGACTATCTCTCTCTTTCCTGTAGCAACATAATTATGTGTGTCGTGGACTATCTCCCTCTGCCCTGTAGCAACATACGGATGTGTGTCGTGGACTATCTCTCCCTCTTCCCTGTAGCAACATACGGATGTGTGTCGTGGACTATCTCCCTCTTCCCTGTAGCAACATACGGATGTGTGTCGTGGACTATCTCCCTCTTCCCTGTAGCAACATACGGATGTGTGTCGTGGACTATCTTCCTCTGCCCTGTAGCAACATACGGATGTGTGTCGTGGACTATCTCCCTCTTCCCTGTAGCAACATACGGATGTGTGTCGTGGACTATCTCCCTCTTTCCTGTAGCAACATACGGATGTGTGTCGTGGACTATCTCCCTCTTCCCTGTAGCAACATACGGATGTGTGTCGTGGACTATCTCTCTCTTCCCTGTAGCAACATACGGATGTGTGTCGTGGACTATCTCCCTCTTCCCTGTAGCAACATACGGATGTGTGTCGTGGACTGTCTCTCTCTTCCCTGTAGCAACATAATTATGTGTGTCGTGGACTATCTGCCTCTTCCCTGTAGCAACATACGGATGTGTGTCGTGGACTATCTCCCTCTGCCCTGTAGCAACATACGGATGTGTGTCGTGGACTATCTCCCTCTTCCCTGTAGCAACATACGGATGTGTGTCGTGGACTATCTCCCTCTGCCCTGTAGCAACATACGGATGTGTGTCGTGGACTATCTCTCCCTCTTCCCTGTAGCAACATACGGATGTGTGTCGTGGACTATCTCCCTCTGCCCTGTAGCAACATACGGATGTGTGTCGTGGACTTATCTTTCTCTTTCCTGTAGCAACATACGGATGTGTGTCGTGGACTATCTCCCTCTTCCCTGTAGCAACATACGGATGTGTGTCGTGGACTATCTCCAAGTCATGAAGAATGAAAACGGTGTCTTTGGGTTAAAATGCTATAGAAATATTCTCAGAATACCACGGACAAAAAAAGAGAATAAATACTGACATTGTAATAGATTTGAACATCCAGGAAATCTGGCTAATAAATGGTATCTTGTCTCAAAAACTGAAATATTTTGGCAAGAGCAATGGCGGATAAAAAAAATTTTTTAAAAAAAAAGCAGAAGGTATGTTACCAGGAATGAGGGGCAGGGGCCGACCAACGTGAAGATGAGCACATGATATCAGTGACTGCTTGAATTTGAAAGTGTATGAGGTGGGACAGATGGCGAGTTTTTTTTAGATAGTTTGGGATAAACTTGACGTTCTGCAAAGGGTCTGCCGCACGATGATGAGGATGATGAGCTGGCTTGCCAGCGTTAGCTCGATGTTGGTCCTTACCCGCACAGGACCACCGATTACTCTGGGCTGGTGTCACCGTTACAATCGCCTAAATTATAACTTCTCCTGAGGTTGAACAGGGTATCTGAAATCTGCCCTATTTTGTTAGCTCTCAGGATAGTCGACCTACAAGTAGCAGCCCCAAGAGACAGCTCGATAAATCTATCTGACGTTTTCCTTTCTTCAGATTTATGTGCACATTTCGCTAGTCTGTTTATTTTGAAATATGGAGAATAGATATCAAGCAAACTAAACTTAGAATCTGTCAGCGTCACATTCTAACAAACACAAGCGAGAAGTTAACGTTGCGTTTGGAAAGCCCTCCTCAGCACTATACATAAATCTACATTCATCATCATCAGGTGCCTTGCCGACTGGCGTGGGCGATCATGCCTCTCCATAATCCACGATCTCCTGCAGCATGTATCAGTTCGTGTGCCGACACACCTCCATGACTTGCAACAATACTGTCAAGAATCTTTTCTCGTTGTCTGTCTCTCTCCTTCCTTCCACAGATCTTTTCAGTGGTCACAACATGTTCTATTTTCCCTATTCTCATAACACGGCCAAAAAAAAAATGATGATTGTCTCCTTCATGTCTGTGATAATTTGTCTTCGGGCTCCTGCCTATTTCCTAACCTCGTGGCTGCTCTTTTTGGCTGTCTAAGGTATTTTAAGCATTCTTCTGTAAAACCATATCGTGGAGGCCTCTAGAAATTGTTTGGCCTGCCTACCGATTGTTCAGGATTTACAGCCATATATTAAAACTGAATGTATGTAGCAAGCAAGAATACTTTTTTTTAAAATGTCTTAATGACAAAAAAAATAAACTGGACAAGATGTTCTTCATTTTATAAAATGCAGTTTTTGCCTGTCCAATTCTATTTCTTATCTCAGAAATGCATCTTCCATCTGATGTTATCCATGTGCCCAGATAATTAAATTTTTTGTACTTGTCCCAAAATAATACCATCGACTGTTATTACACATTTAGAAATAATTCTTTTTTTTTTTTTTTTTGGGATACCGCCGCTATCAATACTACAGATGTAAACAAAAATACACAACATCACTTAGCTGACGTATTTCCGACTGAAATCACGTTGCTGTCAGGCTAGTAGAATGAATTAAATGAGGATTGTAATAAATGCTTTTCTTTCCTCAGACGTCTGTATACGTTCTGCAGATTTGCACCCTGAAATATTCTACACAGCTTCCTGTCAATCTATACTTTGACATAGTCTAGATCTGTCACACTCCACGTTTACTTTTTGATTGTGGTCAGTATACTGTTATATCGCTCGATGTGATAGAAATGTCTCATCTTTCTTACCTTGATTCACTTCAAACAGGTGATTGCTACTTAAGGTTCTTATTAAATAAACCACACATTTATATCGTACCGTTTAAATTAGAAAGAAAGAAAAAAAGTCTAGAAAAATATAATGGTACTTGGTACAACTTGAGGGCTTAGGTAGGTTTTATGTCCTTCACTTGACCTTACAAACGACAACAGTATTAACTGGAATTTTTTGGTTTTCCCAAGCAATCGGTGCATGCTTGGTAGTTTGCCATTGCTGTCTGAACGATTCGAAGCTCATTCTGTTGTCGAAATCAGAACAAAGCTATTGGCTGCCAAATAGCCTGCGAATGGCTTTGAACCTTGGTGTAACGGAACTCTAGCTAAATCGGGTACCAGGTGAAATCGTGGAAAGTAAAGGCAGCCGGCGTGATGTTCACCACATCATCCACGGAGTGCCGATTAGTCTATAAAACATATGTCTAGCCCTGCATGCCCTATACGCCTAAAGGCTTAGAACAGGGTCCTTTACATACTTATTTTAAACGATATATCAAAACTATAACTGAGCTCACAACCCTTGAGCTGAAACGCCTATGCACCCAAAGATAGCAGTAGAAAATCAGAAGGCACGAGCCGAAGACTGCCACCTACCTCATGTTTTTGACGTTAATTGCCTGACTGTTATCGTCAGGCTCGGCTGACGCTAGGGGCCCTGACAGATGGATGTCTTTTCTAGAGAATGGTAGCTGAACATCTTCCCTGATTCTGTTCAGGTTGGCATCAGACAGGCTAATGAAGGCGAGACCTAAAGGTGCGTGGGCTCGAGGTCGTGGCTGGCCTGTTGCTGGAGTCTTGTCAACTCTCAGGCCCACCTTGGGTGATCCCACCCGCTTCAGCAATTCCAGCGTGTTTGACCGAGGTCTTCCATCAGTAGGCTGAGAATCCACAGAGGCAACTTTCTCCGAGGACTTCTGTTTCTTATCCTTTATTCCTGTCTAAACAAATATAAAACAGTCAGCCAGTTAAAAACATCTGTAATATGTTAAACCTGTAACCAATATATCGTGATTTCTCAACTCTACTCTTGTGTTCCGTGCTTTTATCTAATTTCTGTTTACAATTTAAGCTATATCCTAAACCGTTCGTGTAGGAAGTACGTAGTTTATTTTCAAGCCGGCCTGATGGCCTGGTTTAGTTTGATACGTGAGCAACATTGCTTAACAGACCTCTACATAGTGATGATATCCTGATCAATGAAATATCATTATTACTGGATTATTTAAAGGAATGAGTGAATACCACATGAATCAATAAATAAATAAACCTATAGTCGAAAGGAAAAACATATTAAATGAAAGCTAATGTAAGTGGCTTCCGGTCAAAATGGACGCTAGGCAGGAGCACTGTTCGAAGTTGAGGCACATTTTTTGCTTCTGCCGGACAGTGGCCGATGCATTTTTGCTCCATCTGTAGACTGGATATAGTTTCGTTGCCCAGCTTCTGAGTTCAATGCATGGCGTGACACTGTGAGCTGCGGATTTCATTTTGAATGTTTTTTTCGACTGTGGCCAAAGTGGTGGTGTGAATTGTAGATTCAGAAAATGGCGCGATGCCTGTCATGCAATGTTGGTGGTGCCCGTATGTGATTAAAATTGATCGTGTTTGCTATGAAGCTGAAACTAAGACTACCAGACCAGACTACCAGACCACATTAAATGAATAAACGATAGTCTCGGTGACCGACTGAATAATGAATGTAATTAGAATCTGTGTTTACAAAACAAAATATAGCCTGCAAAGTAAAGGTGAGAAATAAGATGAAACTATTGCCATGTACACATATAAGTGTAATAAATAGACAGTACAAGCACACATATAAGTCTAATAAATAGACAGTACAAGCACACATAGAAGTCTAATAAATAGACAGTACAAGCACACATAGAAGTCTAATAAATAGACAGTACAAGCACACATAGAAGTCTAATAAATAGACAGTACAAGCACACATAGAAGTCTAATAAATAGACAGTACAAGCACACATAGAAGTCTAATAAATAGACAGTACAAGCACACATATAAGTGTAATAAACAGACAGTACAAGCACACATAGAAGTCTAATGGCTAATACACAGACAGTACAAGCACACATAGAAGTCTAATGGGTAATACACAGACAGTACATGTACACACATAAGTCTAATCCACAGACAGTACATGTACACAAAGAAGTCTAATACACAGACAGTACATGACACATAGAAGTCTAATACACAGACAGTACAAGTACACATATAAGTCTAATACACAGACAGTATATGTACACATATAAGTCTCATACACAGACAGTACGTGTACACATAGAAGTCCAATACACAGATATGACAAGTACACATAGAAGTCTAATACACAGACAGACTAATACACAGACAGACTTACAAGCACTTGTTTGTTGTCACATTCTGGCCAACTGGGAAGAGGACAAAAGCACAGAGACAAATATTCGGGGGTTATATCTTCATTAACAAACCTCAAGAGGTTCGGAATTCTGAAGAAGAGGATTTCCAAAAACAGAAGAAAGAGGTAACGCTGAGAGGAAAACCACTTACCGAAGACAGCGAGGACATGTTTATGTTCTGCATGTTTGGCGTCGAGTGGAAAAACAACATTGGAGGGCGTGTGGATTTGTCAGTATTTTTTGCACGTGTTGTGATCACAGAGGTTCTGTCCTGCTCATTTTTCAGGGTAATTAACGGAGCCGCCTCTTGAGGAGTTACTCCATTGGTAGAAGCACCTGGTGTCTTCTTCAGTGCCCCACGATACCTCACCAGTTCCCCATCTTCTAGGGCTTCAGATCTGGTCTTACATTTGTCCCTAGAAGGGGCACCTATCTGCAGTTCCAGCGGCCTGACTAAAGCACCAAAGACAACCCCGTTCAGAATCAAACCTCCGAGCAACAAGAGTGTCCAGCTCCAGTTGTATTGGTCCAGCAGGAAGTCTGTAAGTGGGGCCAGTATAAACGTCCCTATCCCTGACCCACACACGGCGATCCCCGTGGCGAAAGCTCTTCGTTCCTCAAAGTAAACACTGACGGCAACAATGGCGGGCAGATACATTAGCCCAAACCCGATCCCTGAGGAGAAGAGGAAATCAGATGTATGTACATGTGTGAACGTTGATCTGTGTGTGTGTGTGTGTGTGTGTGTGTGTGTGTATATACAAGCCTTCACAAATGTGCGCACACATATATATGTATATGTATACGTGTGTGCGCTAGTGAGTGTGTGTGTGTGTGTGCGTAGAAAGAGAGAGAGAGAGAGAGAGAGAGAGAGAGAGAGAGAGAGAGAGAGAGAGAGAGAGAGAGAGAGAGAATGTTTTTGAACTGATTTGAATAAAGACATTTAAAAAAAATACTCAATATGTATATGGTTTCTTTGACAACATACGGAAATGCATCTGGCGTTGTGACAACATACAGACATACACCTTGCGCTGTGACAACATACAGACATGCATCTGGCGCTGTGACAACATACAGACATGCATCTGACGCTGTGACAACATACAGACATACATCTGACGCTGTGACAACATACAGACATGCATCTTACGCCATGACAACATACAGACATACATCTGACGCTGTGACAACATACAGACATACATCTGACGCTGTGACAACATACAGACATACATCTGACGCTGTGACAACATACAGACATGCATCTGACGCTGTGACAACATACAGATATGCATCTTACGCTGTGACAACATACAGACATACATCTTACGCTGTGACAACAAACAGACATACATCTTACGCTGTGACAACAAACAGACATACATCTTACGCTGTGACAACATACAGACATACATCTGACGCTGTGACAACATACAGACATACATTCGACGCTGTGACAACATACAGACATGCATCTTACGCTGTGACAACAAACAGACATACATCTTACGCTGTGACAACATACAGACATACATCTGACGCTGTGACAACATACAGACATACATTTGACGCTGTGACAACATACAGACATGCATCTGACGCTGTGACAACATACAGACATGCATCTTACGCTGTGACAACATACAGACATGCATCTGGCGCTGTGACAACATACAGACATACATCTGACGCTGTGACAACATACAGACATACATCTGACGCTGTGACAACATACAGACATTCATACATCTGATGGTGTGACAACATACAGACATACATCTGACGCTGTGACAACATACGGACATACATCTTACGCCATGACAACATACAGACATACGTCTGACGCTGTGACAACATACAGACATACATCTGACGCTGTGACAACATACAGACATACATCTGACGCTGTGACAACATACAGACATACATCTGACGCTGTGACAACATACAGACATACATCTGACGCTGTGACAACATACAGACATACATCTGACGCTGTGACAACATACAGACATACATCTTACGCCGTGACAACATACAGACATACATCTTACGCCATGACAACATACAGACATACATCTGACGCTGTGACAACATACAGACATACATCTGACGCTGTGACAACATACAGACATACATCTGACGCTGTGACAACATACAGACATGCATCTTACGCCATGACAACATACAGACATACATCTGACGCTGTGACAACATACAGACATACATCTTACGCCATGACAACATACAGACATACATCTTACGCTGTGACAACATACAGACATACATCTTACGCCATGACAACATACAGACATACATCTGACGCTGTGACAACATACAGACATACATCTGACGCTGTGACAACATACAGACATACATCTGACGTTGTGACAACATACAGACATACATCTGACGCTGTGACAACATACAGACATACATCTGACGCTGTGACAACATACAGACATACATCTGACGCTGTGACAACATACAGACATACATCTGACGCTGTGACAACATACAGACATACATCTGACGCTGTGACAACATACAGACATACAACAGACGCTGTTACAACATACAGACATACATCTTACGCTGTGACAACATACAGACATGCAACTGACGCTGTGACAACATACAGACATACATCTGACGCTGTGACAACATACAGACACGCATCTTAAATTTTGCGCAAACAGTTTAGAAGTATATGTAGATATTAGAAACTAAATGCTAAAAGAACATGTTGCGAATACTGACGTCCTAGAGATGCCAACATTCTTCACATACCAGCTCTGAGTTTAAAAAAAAAAAAAAAAAATCCAATCTGTATCATTCTCCTAAAATAAAACACTTAAATCTATAGATGTTAAAGTGGTTAAATGTCAACATTAATGGAAGAAATGATTCCTAGAAAATCATAGGCATCAGAAAACACAACTTACCACCTATCACCCCATATGTCATGATCAGCATGGTCACGTTAGTACTCCACGAACTGACGATGAAAGCGAAGGCGGCCACTAAACTTCCTGCAATGATCACCCGGCGGCATCCGAAACGATTGGTCAGTGCGCTGACCACTGGACCTTATGATAGAAGGTAGATGTTATAACCTGAAAATGCCATTACCTGATTTTAAATATGAATTTACAATTTAAAAGGTATGCCTGTTTGGAAAATAAACGTTAAGACAAACGTGGTTAGAAGAGGCCAAATCGAGTTTACCGAACCCCACTCATGGTATCAAAAGGGTTGCGCCGGATAGAACTTAATGGAGAACTTCACTGCGAGCCTGGTGTGGCGTACAATGGCACAACAAGATGATGACGCATCTGAAGGAAAACAGGTGCAGAGAAAAGATAGTGATGGTATATGCTCGCCTCTCACACTACAGAAATCTGCACTTGTCTACCATAGTTCCCCGTGTGTTCCGGAGTCCCTTTGTGGGGGGAAACAAGAAAAGACCAACTGCCTATCTAAAAGCATGTCGTAAGAGTTGACAAATTGGGAGCTTTCTTCGACACAGCAACCTGGACTGCTAGGAAGACACAGAATTCTAGCACCAAACACTAAGCGATGAAATAGTAATACAGTTTATTGCCATAATTATAACCGATATTGACTAGGACGAGGCTAGCTTCCTGGTCAGAGGCTGAATGTGGCTAACTCAAATTGAACGAACGAACAGTCTGCAGACAAATGAGTCAGAACTGTAGAACGGATGTCACGCAACACTTAAGCTCTAGAACAGGATGCGTCTAGAAATCGACTAACAACTAAAACTTTCTGCCGGAGTTTACATCCGGTGAAAGTGAAAAAAGGTCTCATGATAATCATTCAGCCGATGGTTTACAGAACGTCGCTCTCATAGCAGCCCGTGATTTCTTCAAGGGATCATGAACACTACAGGCACCGCAGTGTATAGAGTTCCACAAGTTTGGTGACGGCGACGGGTATGGCCCAAACTGACGTTTTGCACACTCCTTTGAGATACCCGTAATATACTTGGAGAACATATATCTTCAGTTGTCCTGACTCTGTCTTGCCACTGGACCCAGATATGACTCAGGCGAGAAAGTGAGGTCGATGACACTACGCAACTATTCCTCACTTTAATCCAAGTCACCGCGCAAGTCTCTCTTTCTTCACCAAGCAAACAGAACAGCAAGACTGAAAAGACTGGACAGAAAGGCGACTGCAGGAGATCCCCTCCCTGGCACAACGCTCATTCCCTGTCCTCACTGTCCAAGAACTTTTCGGGCCCACATTGGCCTCATCAGTCATCTTCGTACTCATATTTGATGACGAAGAGTGTCATCATCATCTTGATGGACAACACACACACATACTTGGAGAAATCAATTCAAGTAAATGTGCTATCCGGGCTAGATTTCAGGGATGTTGCCAGCTGATTTAGTTTACTCAACAACTGAGTGCTATTTGATCCTAACAGCTCTAACCAGTTCTGTATCGGTTTACTAATCTTCTTTCTCTACCAGTATATTGTTCATATCTGACAACGGCTCTTGTGGCGTGTAGTTCTTGTAGTCTTGTCAAGTTTGTCAGTTCACTGTCTTTTCTCAAATATCTGCACGTCCTGCTTCCTTGAAAACAATGAGAACTTTGGCTCGGTCCATTGTTTTTCCTGTGCCTACGGTGGCCCTGCCAGCAAGCCAGCCTGCTTGCTAATTCCCTTTCAATACAGAGTGCCCTGGGACAAAAGTGAACCTGTTTTCTATCAGACATTTTCTTAGAGAGGCAAAACAATATCTTGGAACCTATACAGACAGTTAGAAACCTTCATGGGAAAAATCCAGTGTCTCTAGCCATGTTTTTGCCTTTGTTACCACCATTACCCCCATAGTCAGACTACTTGTAACCAAGTCAAGAATATCACTTTATTCCTTTACAGGTAGTTCTCCCTCCAACGAGACCCGTTATAGCTCTTGAGTTTAGCACCTGTCGAACGCATGTTTCGTTTACTAGAAAGAAGATTATCATGGCCTGGAGAGAATGCGGCACCTGGGTGTAACCAGAGGGTCTGGCTGGTTCACTACACTCAGAGGAAAGGCAAGACAGACTTTTAATCAGATTGTGACCGGTACTATCAGTATTGGAAATCTGCGCTGGCTGCTGAAGATGAGGACGGAGTGCTGTGATGACAATTCTTGACTCAACTCAACTCATGTTTCGTTTAAAGTGTCTCATGTGCTTATTTATAATTTGTGTTTGTATGGAGGATGTGTTTGTTTTGAAGTGATCAATCATTAATTACTCACCAATGAACAGATATAATCCAACCTGCAGGGAACTCGCCAAAGAAATAGTACTCTTCGGTTCTTGAAAGACCCGCTCCAGCTCTCCCAACAACACCCCAAATGTGTAGGTCAACCCATCCACGATCAAACTGATGATCAGGGCACTTAGAACGATCACCCAGCCCCAGCTGTAAGAGGAATGGAGTCAAACACCTCATGTTTGCTTTTGCTTGTAACAACTGACAAGGCAACAACATAAAACAGAAAGTGTAGAAGTGAAACAAAAAGTAAATGTTCCTTTTCCGCGCCTTAAGACGTATCGGGCATATAGGGCTAGACCTATATTTTTATAAACCAGTCGGCACAAGATGGGTGATGTGGTCAGTACTACGCCGGGAGCCTTTACTTCCTGGAACTGCACCCAGTACCCACTCAAGGCTGGGTCAACCTAGGAGTCTAGGTAATTTTTTTAAAAAGCCCGGTCCACCATGGAGCTAATCCCCGACCTTCCGATCCGCAGCGAGCTTCTAGCCGCTCCGCCACGGCGACTCCCAGTGTAGAAGTAGCACAGTCAGAACAGAATGAATGAATCAAGAATTGACACAACCGCATTCGGGAGATTCCCACAACTGCTCCGTCCCCTTCTTCAGCAGTCAACGAAGAGTCGGCCTGTTAATAGTACCAGTTGCAACCTGACTGCGAGTCTGATTATAGTTATCCCTCAGTGTTGAATATTTTCCACAACCTGAATTCACGCCGCGTTGAATCAGTCTTTTAATGTATAGAATCTCGCCCTAGTCTATTGCACTGTCTATTTGGTCAAAAAGAGCCTTCGCCACGTCCGCTTTATTATAGAATAGCTCACCATTCAGAGGGGTGGCAGCAGCAGCTCGTTACCTCGTACACCTGCAAATCCTGGACAGAAAACACAAGGGAAAAAAAAAACGCCAATAGAAAACATCATAACAACAAAACAAATGGAAATCACACGCATGGATAATATCGTTCTACACTACATCACAGTGTTTGGTGAACTTGCTGCTTAAAATGTGTAGATTGTGAGAAAAAAAGTGACATTAGTGGTGATGATGATGATGATGATGATGATGATGATGATGATGATGATGATAATGCCCGAAAATGAAAAAGAGAATGATTGTTTTGAAAAGGAAAGCAGAAGAAGCAGCAGTAGTTGCATAAGTCGAAGAAGAAGAAGAAGAAGAAGAAGAAGAAGAAGAAGAAGAAGAAGAAGAAGAAGAAGAAGAAGAAGAAGAAGAAGAAGAAGAAGAAGAAGAAGAAGAAGAAGAAGAAGAAGAAGAAGAAGAAAAAGATGATGATGAAGAAAATGAAGAAGAAGAAGAAGAAGATGATGATGATGAAGAAAATGAAGAAGAACCAGAAGAAGAAGAACCAGAAGAAGAACAACAACAAGAACAACAAGAAGAACAACAAGAAGAAGAACAGCAAGATGAAGAACAAGAAGAAATTAAAGACTCACCAGAAAGAGCACCATGCCACAGGTAAACTTACCCTCCATCTGGAACTTTCCAGGCAACAGTGTCCTTGACCTCACTGGTCCCTGCAGTCTCCAGGTCACCATTCTCAAACCCAGCAGCAACTCCATTATTTTCAGTGTCTGCATCACCACGATCTCCTTCCAGTTTACTACCACTTTCATGTTCCGACTTATCCATGTCCGTATCTGCTGCTTTATCTTGAATCTCTTCTCTTGAATAGACTCCGATCTTGTCACTAACTCGTTCCACAAATTGTATACCAGGATTACTCATATTCGTATCATTAAAATCTTTCAGTGTTGTATTTTCAACCAAACTTTCTGCTCCCGTCTTGGTTTTCGCGTCTGAGTTTTCCATTTTATGTTCGTCTGCAACTTCAACAAACGATAATGTGTTTGTTATTTGAGTAAAGTCTGTCTATTTGTTGTCTGCTTCTCTGGTATGGCGTCACTTAGACAATCCTAACATCGTCGCACCAAACAGCCACTACAGCCGTTTTCTGTCTGTACCACATATTCCACATTAGATCGATGTCTTCTTTGACAACGTGTATGAAGCATGTCTGACTGTTAGATGATTGATATGCAAATATTTCTGAGATCTTGATTGAGGTCTGACGAATATATCTGGAATCGTGAAAAGTGAAAACAGATAAAAGAATACAATATAAATCCACATCTTCACACTTGTGTCTAATATAGTGGTGTTTTTATGGACAAAAGAAACAAACTGGAAACAGAGGAATACGTCAATAAGGATCAGACAACATATTTAAGAATTCCTAATTTTTGAGATAACTGGTTTCAGAAAGCAGAGACACACAAAAAGGTTAACTTGTGTGCAGTCAGTTGCTTGACCTTGGGGGTTGCGTGGTCTCGAGGCATGGAGTCTGCCTCGAGTGCTGGAGGTACGGAGTTCAAGCCCCGGTGGAGGCTGGGAATTCTAATAATTTCCACCGGTCTATGGGTAGTAAGATCGCACGGCCGTGTGTACTGTTAAGCAGAGTATTTCACGAACCTCGCCAATGCTACGAAGATCGTGCATTGCGCGATTCTTTGGTCTCAGACTTGAGTTAGAGAAGTAGAACGGAGCACTTATGGGTTACTACCCTGGTGCTATGAAGTTGATCCGTTGTTGAAACCGGGTTGACCTGTCAGATCACCGACTGCCTAAGAGCAGTCTTCTACTGTGAGCTGTACAGTGTAAAATGCACCACCTTCTCCTCCCCTTGTGCACCCTTGTGCGCCCCGGACCCAGTTAACACACAGACAAACTGACTGACGTCCCTGACAATATGCTATGTCTCACTGATGTCCCAGACAATCTGCTATGTCCCACTGATGTCCCAGACAATCTGCTACGTATCACTGATGTCCCAGAGAATCTGCTATGTCCCAGGGAATTGCTTACTTTCGCTATGGATTATCTATCGATTTCCATTTTCCGTTCTTTTAAGGATGAAATGTTTCGTTATTTGAAGCCCCACCCTGGCTCTTTCCAGGGGCCGCAATATAGCCAGCCCATAAATGTGGCCAACTGGCTGAACGCGGTTTCTGGGACCTCTCCACGGTGATCCTCATCCACACAGTGGCACTTTGTGTCATCGGGTGTTTATCGCTTGTGTGATGTCCTGGTGGGGTAGAAAGTCAGTCGGTCAGTCCCAGGGGAATATGACTGTAAACCTCTAGTGCTGACCACTTGGGCGGCAGTCGAGGTTAAGAACCTTCCTATGTGAGTATTTAACAATACCCACATTGGTAACAGCTGGTAGAACATAAATGTATACGGACGCAAACAGTTTGTTGAATTCTTATGGTTCTCTTTTTCTTTCCAAGTGAGACTGTTCTCTTTTTAGGTTCTTACATTCAAACAGCAGTTTCACACGAGATGCTGTCAGACCAACGAAGGGTCAACAGAAATGAAAAACTAGATATTGAAAACTAGGCTGAAATCTCAACACAACACCACTGCACGACATAATGCCTTCGTCGACATACTTAAACACTTGAATTATGTTCAATGACAAATCATACACAAATTAATACGTTTGTGAGTAAGCTATATGCAAAACTCCAAACAATCACATGTCATCTCCACAATGATGGTTGGCTGCAACAGATCCCCAACACACAGTGGATTGCGCCCTGAATATGCACTCCATTAGACTGCTATTTGTTCATCTGCTGATGTTGTCGTCCCACATGTATCGCTGAAGGCCTGTTACTCCTTTGCCTTAAATTTTACTCTCCAGCAGGGACTTTATAAGAGTTATGTTCTTCACTATGGCTGATATGGTTCATGCTACCACTTAGAGAGAGAAGTTTTTATTTCAGTTTGCCGCTCACAGATACTAGCAATCTCCTTTCCAGAATACAATAGCATTAATACCATCGCATGGGACCTATTGATAGAGGTAAGTCTTCCCAAGGACTGACCAGTTATTTAACCCATGAGATGTCTAGACTGTCAAAAACTGGTTTCCTCAGATTGGTAGTCCCCTGTTTGCACTGACAATGATATATGATATAGACAACGGTGAACCTACTGCTCTAATTAATTATCTAACAACACATCTAACTACTTTGTTGAAGCAGAAAATAGCACAACGTGCCGCCAACCGGCCTGCTGTTCAGAAATCTTTGTATTTCACAGAAATTGATCACAGTATTACAGCACAATTTTTGTGGTTTTTGTTGGTTACTTCCCATAAGTCAAAACCAGTCGAAACAACAAGATCATGTGTGAATGCTGAGACCAAAACATTGTAATAATCAAAACCTAAATTCATGTATTCCGCAGAAAATGAAAACAATATTGCAAGCAGTGCATTTCTTTACCTAGAATAAGACAAATCCAATTAAAATCACAAATCCCTGCTGCAGACGTTGAGCTGCAAATCCAAACCGAAAATCTGGAGTGCTCCAGAAAACTGGAATGGCTTGAACAGCTCTAGCACTGCCGGACAGATGACACACATACTCACACACACTTGTGCACACAATAGCTACAGATCTGGGCCCAAGACACAAGCGAACGTGACCGCAATAGATAACAGAGGACAGTTGCATCGTCGACCGTGAACTTAGTATCTACAGAGATGAGATTAGACACAGAAGATACATCTGACGGAGTCTGAGGTCAAAGACAGCCGGGTCAGCTGTTGCGTGCAGGAGACAGGCGGCATTAGCAATACTTGTGCTTTTGTTATCTAATCTTTGTATTTAATTGTGCTCCTCGTATTTTTTTACTTCAGCTATTTATTATATATATATATATATATATATATATATATATATATATATATATATATATATATATATATATGTATCATTTTTCTTTCAATTATTATTTCACTTCTCCCTCCCCACTTCCGCTTCATTTTTGTTAATCCTCTTGTTTTATCTTCTCAACATTTCTCACTCTTCTTCAATTTCTCCGAGTTATCCTCCTCTTGTTCTTCCGTTTTTGATTATTGTTCATTGTTGTCATCTTCTTCTTGTCCATACCTTCTTGAGCAGAGTGCAGAGACCCAGCCTCATCAAATAGGAACCGGATCATTGTCAGGATTGTCCAGGCTGAAATTGCAGCAGCAACTGTAAGAACTGATCACATAAGGTCTTTATTCCTTGGCTAAGAAAATATGGCCCTAACACTTCAAACCCTCACAGCAGGACTTTTCAGTCAAGTTGGCTCAGGGGCAAAAATACTGAAAATTAAGATCATCGCCTGCTAGTGGACAAAGTTCCAACGCTGAAAGGTCATTAATATGTTACAATCAGTAATGATCAGCGAGCCACTTGCTAGGCTCTTACGGGCCGCATTTAGTCCACAAGCCGTAATTAAATTGCCCACTCTGCCTTACTCTGAGTCACTAATGTGGACAGAAAGGTCTGTTTCTAATTCTCTCTACTGTGATCTACTTCTCATGAAGATGCTTCAGGCAGAGGAAATCTGCAGCTGTGTACTTTAATGGCTCGGAATGCTGGTAGCGATATTATGATACCTAACACTGCACGGAAAAAATAGGCCAGGATTCTAATGTGTGTGTTTGTGTGCGATTGCGCATGTGCGTGCGCGCGTGTGTGTTTGTGTGTGTATTTGTGTGTGTGTGTGTGTGTGTGTGTGTGTGTGTGTGTGTCAGAATCCCTAATACTATAAATGAACAGACGCAGGAAGATTTTCGTATTTGAAAAATAGGTTAAAGGGAAAAGAACAAGATGATAGGCAGTTATAGCTACAATGGAGAGCGGGAGTTTGCAACAACCAAGTGATGACTGTTACTCTGCAACCACAAACAGGCCGCAAGAAGAGCAAGTTAAAATGTGTGAGGCCAGACAAGAAAACTATACAGAAAGCCAAATAAGATAAATAAGCCAGCACAGAACTGGTGTCTTCAGCCGCTACACGATATGGGATTTACTGAGAAATGGATTCGAACATTTCAGAAATGGTTCGTTGTCCAAAGGATTTACAGTAGATATGTCGACTAATTAACCAATTAACTAACTTAAACAAACTAACCAACCAATCAACTAACCGATTAATCAACCCACCAAGAAGCTTACTACCAATTATTTGGATAAATAAAATAGGAAACACCACCTAACTATCAGACATACTGCCAAACACTACATCCGACAGCAGAGCATCTCCTTTTTGTTAGGATTTACCCCAGATAAAATCAAAAACTTAAAATAATTAAAAAAAAAAAAAATGTGAACATCCACAAAACCCCATCAGCAGACTCAGCAGAAAGCGACAATTTTCCGTCTTCGTACAGGACACTGCAGTCTCAGCTACCACATGCATACATTAAAGTATGTACAGTTCCCCCAGTGTGCCTGTCAAACAGGACCACAAACACCTGAGCACATTCTCCAGATCTGCAAACTACCTACAATTTCAAAAAGAAACCTGACCTCAAGAGCAAAGTGTGCAGAGCAAGCTGTGGAGAACCACGAATGACCTGCCGCTGACACACGAGTTCACAGAGGCAACCCACCTGATGATCTGACCTGAGCACACGAAACAGAACGCAAAGAAGAAGAAGAATTGAAAACTATGACCCAGGGAAAATGCTACAAGATCAAGTCTGGGTCCTGGTGGTAGAAAAAGAACACCAAATTACTTTATTTTCCGTTGTGCACAAATGAAAGGTTTCGATTTGTTGTTGTAGGTGTCGACTAATCGGGGTCTTCCCTCGAAGTCGAAGTGCATCTGCACAAGCAGCAAGGAACAAACAAATGCACACATACAAGTCAGTAAAATGGATGTGCTGGCAAAACTCAGGCCTTGGCACTAAGCCAAAGTCCAGCTGGACGAACAGCCAGGACTTTCCCCCCGGAGCTTACAACCGA